TGTTGGGATTTGTATGCAAGAACTGACTCTATTCTACTGCATGGGTTTTGTGCAGTATTGTGAAGGCGTGTCTCCAAGTCTGTAACCGTCAGGTGAAGACAGCTTGGGCGCCTGTGTTTTGGATCTAATGATCACTCTGTGTTGTATCTACCCAAACTGCGCCACCACTGCCAACTACACAACAAACAGCAACTACAATTCTGTTGTCAAAGGCAACGTACAGTTGACCGAGGGCAAAGGGTGAAGAACGCAGATCTAGCCCAATCCACTTTAGCGTTTGTCCTTGGCTCTTGTTAATAGTCATGGCGTGAGCAGTTCGGAGAGGAAACTGAACACGCATGAAGTTTATGCCATTTCTTCCAACCTGTGCAGGGAAACTTATTCTTGGGATCAAAACTATGGGCCGAGGGAGCTCGTCGGTAAGAAGTTCGACTTGAATGACACGACTGTTTGGTGACACTGCTTTCAATATGCATTTTTTGTCCATTCACCAAGCCCTCAGAAAAGTTGAGGTTTCGAACAATCATGGCGAGGCCGTTTGACTTGAGTTTGAGCTCATGAGGAGGTACACCTGAGACGTTAAGTTGATTCAGATGTTCAGGCGCAGCAAAAGCTGTGGGTGCAGAGTTTGCGTCGTTGATGAGGGAATCTAAGCTGTAAAACGATACAGAACGTCCCGGACGTTCGTCAGCTATGATTTGGTTTGATCGATCAATAGCGTTGTTTGTAGTGGCTAAGATGGCACGGTCGCTCCATGTGGTTGCGTCCTCGGACATGTTAGGGTCGACGAAACGTACTAATTCATTGAAATCCGTCGTATATTGCAGTTGGAATTGGTCAGGGCAATCTGTGGAGTGGTTATTTTTGAGGGGGATAAGGTTGGTTCCATCAGGCATGGATGTGGATGGCAATTTGTCTTCATCAACGTTTCGGACAAAAGAGGTGTATGCTGGGTCGTCCTTATCTCTTTGAGATTTGTTAAGCCGGAGGCGACAAATATTGTTCCATAGATGGCTGGATGACGGCGGCGTCAACGGTGTCTGTGGGAAATCCAAACTTTACGATAGGTCCAGTCTGTCTCCAATCACCTGAGAAAAGGATGGTTTTACCACCGAAAAGTAAGTCGTTTCGCATGAGGTCCTTGAGGGTTCTGTCTAGAGCCTCAACGCAGTAACGATGAGTCATCGGTAGTTCATCCCAAATGATGAGGTCAGCGTGGCGTATCAACTCAGCCCTTTGTGTTTGGGCGTTTATGTTACAGACGCATGAAGGAGACGTGTTTTCGTCCATTGGGAGTTTAAACATTGAGTGGGCTGTCCAACCTCCCGGTAGCTGCAAGGCCGCGATTCCAGTCGAGGCGACAATTAAAACTGTTTTTCCATCGCCTCTTAGTTTCGCAGCTAGGCATTTCTCCGTGTATGTCTTTCCTGTGCCAGCTGGTGCATCAATCATGTAAGGTTTGCCCTCTCCGTTGTTGACAGAGTCTATAACGGTCCTGTAAACGTGATGCTGTTCCGCAGTAAGATTTCGCTCATGAATTTCTGCATATTGTTTGCACGTGTGAACGTCAAAAGAGTCTCTCATTCTTTCGTATTCTGTCCTTGAGTGCTGAGCCGCAGGAAGGTTGACTTGCTCATTGGTTTTCCCGTGCAATTAAAGCTTCAAGTCAATTTCGCGAAGAGCTTCTTGGATCGATTCTTCTTGCGTCATGATGAGGACAAAATCTTCGATCAAATTAGGTTGAATTCTGACCATAATTTAGGAGCAGAACCTCCGTCTAAGATGAGGGTCACGAATAGTGCTCTAAGTTGGATTGCCACTTGGAAAGATGCTGCTTCTTCCATGCAAATGGTGTATTCCTCGTCAGCAGTCACTAATCCTCTCGCTCTCGCCGCGTCATGGAAGGTCGCATGTTGAAATGGAGCGGAGTCAGGTTGAGGCACCAGAAGCAGGTCGTTGAAAGGTCTTCCCGGAATTGTGTGCAACAAACAGTAGACGCAGGTAAAATAAGTCCCCAACCGCAGGGCTCTGGAAGACGATTCGACACACGTGCTGGTTATTCTCAGATCTACATGATATTATATTGCCGTAGGAGTCTAAGAACCTCCCGGGAGGCGCGGATGTAGGCTTTCCTTGTCGCTTTTTGGGTTTGGTAACGGTGTTTTTTTCGTAGCAGTCTAGTAGCGTCTGCGGTGTGAAGGCTTCGTCAGTTGGCCTTTTGAAGTAAATCATTAGAGCAGAAGNGGGTATGTGACGTACTGGTAGCCTTCTAAGTGCGCGTGCACCTTTGTAAAAGCAGNTCTCAGATCTACATGATATTATATTGCCGTAGGAGTCTAAGAACCTCCCAGGAGGCGCGGATGTCGGCTTTTCTTGTCCCTTTTTGGGTTTGGTAACGGTGTTTTATTCGTAGTAGTCTGGTAGCGTCTGCGGTGTGAAGACTTCGTCAGTCGGCCTTTTGAAGTAAACCATTAGAGCAGAAGGAGAATCTTCGGCAATTTGAAGGCGCTGCTCTGGGGTAGCATCGTCCGGGTATGTGACGTACTGGTAGCCTTCTAAGTGCGCGTGCACCTTTGTAAAAGCAGGAAATCTGCTGACCATTTGAAATCCTAGCAATCTCCATGTAGCTTCGGCAGCAGAAATGTATCGAGTTTTACGGTATTGCTCTATCTCGCTGGTAATACCTTGGATTCTAGTTTTGGCATAATCGGCGCCTTTGTGTACGTATTTGAACAAGTATTTTACGCACGAGGTAGCAGTCACAACGTCCACACATATGTGACAATCAAACATCAATAATGAGTACGGGTTATAGGGAACGACCCACCACTCGTTTCCGATCTTTACATCTTGCCATTTACATCCTATTCTTGCGCGTATGGTAGGGCTGTCTCCGTTGTAGGTTCGCTTATACTCCGCACGCCCTGTCCGGTCGTTGATTGTTGCCGTACTTCTGAAAGGCTGCGGATAGTGTTTACTGCAGTGTTTTCTGTTGGTGTCGCGGTTGGTCTCCATGCAAGGAAAGTTGACATTGTGCGTTCCGCACTGCTTGTGGATCATATACTTAATTAAGTACCTTTTCTCGGAGAATACCGTTTGCAAGTTCGGCACTAGGAAGTTGGGCCCAACCCCATTCGTCAATCTGGTCTAAATGGTCGGGACCACCATTATTAAAAGTCACGAGGATGTGTGCGTGTGGATATTCCTTTTTTTGAAACTCGATTACACTGAAATGGCTGTCATATTCGCCGAAGACTCTTCCGCTCTTTAATTTTTTCATCAAGGCACTTAACTTCAACTTAAAAACCCGGCAAAATAAATCTGGACGGTCACTTGCGCTTTGCCCGTTCAAGAGGTTGTCTTTCACCTCCTTCCAGTCAGCCTTGAAAGTCACGGTAATGAATAGGTGAGGCTTTCCCCTTCTGTTGACAATAGCCAATGCATCTTCTGTATCAGACTTGTGTTTGCTCATGGATCCTGGGTGACTTGCTGGAAGCAGCTTTCCCGGCTGTGATTCTGAGGAACTTTGTCGAATGGATCGATCTGTGGCGAGTCTGCGTTCTAAAGGGCCGTGTTCAACACAAGTTAAACGTTCCTCCTCCATTCTACTCAGCGAGTCGCAAGCCCATTCTTGAGTAATGCGACAGTTTCGTTTAAAAATCGCTTCGCAAAGCAGACGTTGCCGGCAATGGAAGGGGAAAGTAACATGCGCGTCATTTGTCTTGTTCATCGTTTTTGATTTATGTGGAGGGTCTTCGTCTGGGTGTCCTTTACTCCAACCTGCCTCTCCGTGCAGCATCAACATTGGAAACTGAAGAGTTTCGTAAGCGGCACTCCAAAGCGGCAGGAATCTTGGTTTGTTGTCAGGACTTTTTCTTGGGTATGTCACTACTGAGCGAGGTCCGTTGTTCTGTGTGTTTGAGTTGTAAACAAACGCAGCAATCTCTGGGGCTGATACGGCGTCACCCACAACTGGCCCGTCATTTGCACGACTTACTTGAGCAAACTCTTATGTACGGTGTGTTGGCATTGTCGACGGATGTGAGATTTGTTATGCTCACGGCTGAACGGTATTGTGTCGCTCATGGTATATTGGTGTTAACGTGTTGGCCCAGAGTATTCGAAATTTGATTGTCAAGGTGTTGGGATGCTGATTGGGAATTGAATTCTGGGTCAACAACATATTCGCCTGATTGAGAGCGAAGTATCTGATTGAGAGCGAGAGCCAAAAAAAATGAAATTTCGGGTCCAGACGCCTCTTGCCATTTCTTGGCAAGTAGGGGACGGGCTATTCCAAGAAGCGGTGCAAATTGAAGGTCTCATCAGCAGCTTCGCGAGCATATGCGTGTCATCGTCATCGGATGCTGCAGCGAGGAGCTAGACAAGTTGCTAGATTTGCCCAGATTGGCTATTTCTGCTCAAACTGTTTCAGGGCGGTATCGCGTCGGGCGGTGGGCTCTGCTGTAGCTTCTGCTCCCCGCTGTAGCTCCACAACGAGAGACTCCCACAGGATGACCAGGGTAGCGGCTTGAAGCTACGGGCTAGCCCTTCAATTCAAGCTACACAGCAAGCTCCACCTCTCAGTGGTAGTCCGGCTACAGCGTATCGCGCAATCTCGCTCTCAATCAGATGCTACGCTCTCAATCAGGCGAATATGTTGTTGGTCGTAGATGTAAAATCTGGCGATATTTGTGACGTTCATGTCGGTGTACAGCTCCTGCAAGTCAAATATTCTGTGGTACGCTCTTCCGCGGAGGGTCAGCATGGAGGGAGCAGGAGGTTGAGTCCAACTACGCTTTACAATTCCCCCTGCACCTAATTCGGTAAATGCAAACAGACTGTTGTATCGTCTTTGTGCTGAACGGAATCTGGCCGAACCAAAAACTGTAAGTAGATGGGAAGGAATCGGACGAAGACGCGCCATGGCAGATCGGCCGCTGTTCCAGCAGTTATACGTGTGCGTTTTTTCTTTACATTAAATGGCGTCGCAGTGCTTACACACATGATTGTTGTCGTGCTCGAGGAAAGGTTGGTTGAAGTGGTGTGAGGATGCAGGGTAATTGGGGTGAAGACAGTTGAAAGGCTGTATGCCATGAGATAGGGCGTTCCTGTCGGCATTGTTGCTGTCGCCATCATTACTGTTGTCGTCATCATCGCTAGCGTCACGGTTGATCGTATTTGACGGGTGTCTAGGTGCTCGATTACGCATTCGGTTGAAGTGGTTTTGAATCGCGCGAACTTCGTTGTCATTTTCGTCGTCACTACCGTTGTTGGTACTACGATCTTCGTCACTAATTTCGTCGTCATCGCTCTCATCGGCATCGTCAGCACAATAGGGTGGCCGTCTACGTGTTCTGGGACGGAGATTGTTTTGTCTGCGGTCTTGTTGTACAATCTGTTCTCTACGTGTAGTCTGTCATGCCAATGTTTCACGTGCAGCCGAGGTTCTCCTTGAAGCAGAACGCGTTACACGTTGTTCTGTGGTGCTTTGTTCAGTATTTGTTGTTGGCCGAAGCGGTCGTTGCCGAGACGCGCGTGTAGCAGGTCGTGAACTGTATCGATCTGTAGAAGAATTTTGTCGTAGAGTTGTTCGCTGTGATTGTCGCCGAGACATCGATCGTGTAACACGAGAGTCTGGCTCTTGCCGTGAAGGCACTTGAGGTGGACGCATCCGCTTATGACTTATGAGGGCTGGCTTAAAAAAATATGGGACTTGAAGTTGAGAATAAAATTACAATGTAAATACAGATGATACAGATGAATGCTGGCAGAATACGTCATAATGAGAGTTTAAATAAAAATAGCAATTACAATGTAAATACATTGTAATTTATAGACTAGCTGGAGGAGTTAAACAAGTTCCGATGGACGCACAACTGGTTCATCAGACAGGTCATTGGGTGGTCCAGACGGATTGCTCAAATGCCTTCAACACGGGCAAGCGCACCGCCATAATGGCTCAGGCCGCAAAGAGCGTCCTAGATCTCGTGGGGTACATCGCCAGGTGTTACGACGAAATCCCGGCAAAGGCGATATACACGATGGACTCCGGAGAGCGTCGGACGATCGAGTGCAAGAGCGGTGTGCAGCAAGGAGATGGAATGGGACCGCCCCTGTTCTGCTTCATCCTAGTCCCGATCGTCTTGAGGCTTAGAGCCAAGTACGACCACCTCGGGGTATGCTTGAAAGCTTTATGGACGACATCAGCCTGCACTTCAAAAATATCACAGCGGAAAATATTCAGGTGATACCGGACCTCGTCGACGAACTAGAAGCAGTGGGCATCATCGTCAACAGGGGGAAGAGCTCAGCGCTTCCCCCACCAGGGCACG